GATTAACATCATCACAGAAATAGGTGAAGAAGACATGGACGGGATTGTAAATTTTCAGAGAATAGGCGAGTACTTGAAGGGGAGAAAACGACTAATCAAGCTGATTTTCAGGACAGAAACAGTGAGGAACAGGATCCTCCAATGGAAACCACAGTTTAAGTACTCGGCAGAGTACAATAGGGTGTTCCTAGACAGAGACAGAACACAATCAGAACGACAGCAGCTGAGGGAGAGGACAAAAAAGCGGAAGGAGCTAGGAAGGGAGACAAGGATGGAACCAGCAGAGGTCAATCAGAGCAGGTCAGAGCAGCATGGGCAAGCACACACAAAGGCATCCCCAGAACTCCATAACCTATAACACCAGACACCATCCCAACACAAACTACAATCCATACTCACAGCTTCCACCCAACTCCCAGCTATAGAATCTCACAGTACACTACCAGGTCTCCCACCCTCACAGACCCCCCAAACCACAGTGTTGGAGAGGAAACTGTTGGTAAGGTACACAAACGCTGGTGGAATAACAAACAAGTGGGAATAGTGGCACGGAAAAGTCAAAGAAGCATCACCGAACGTCATAGCTCTCACAGAAACCAAGCTTACAGGTATGATAACAGATGCCATCTTTCCAACGGGATACCAGATCCTCAGGAAAGACGGAGGGAACAGGAGGGGTGGAGGAGTGGCACTGCTGATCAAAAACTGATGGAATTTTGACGAGCTGTAGAGAAGAGACAGCGGAGAAGCAAGCAATTACAGGAAGTGCAATGAGGCAGAGAAAAGGTTTGTTCCCAAATGAAATAGAAATAATAGGAAGACCAACTTTGGTCTTCCTATTATTTCTATTTCCCTTGGGAACAAACATTTCCTCTGCCTCATTGCACTTTGTTGTTACATATTCCATCATCTCGCTTACTGATTTTCCTACCACTTCTCTGTCCCACTGAACCTCCTGCAGGAAGTTCCTCATACCTGTGTAGTCCCCCCTTTTATAGTTTGGCTTTTCCCATTGAATTCCCGTTACCTTCTCCACTTTTAACACTGCTATATAATCAAAACTCAGAACCACGTGATCGCTAGCTCCAAGGGGCCTCTCGTAAGTGATGTCCTCAATGTCTGAACTGCTCAGGGTGAACGCAAGATCCAGTCTTGCTATCCCGTCCCCGCCTCTCTCTCTGGTAGCGTCCCTGACATACTGATGCATGAGGTTTTAAAGTACCACATACATCATCTTGGGTCTCCATGTTTCAGGACCCCTATGTGGCTCCAGGTTTTCCCAGTCGATCTCCCTGTGGTTGAAATTGCCCATTACCAGTAACTTTGCTCTGGTCGAGTGAGCTCTTCTTGCCGTCTCAGCCAGTGTGTCCACCATCACTCTATTGTTTTCTTCGTACTCCTCTCTTGCCCTCCTGCAGTTCTGTGGTGGGTTATACATCACTCCAATGACTACTTTATGTTCTCCTGACTGAAATGTACCTACTTTGTAGTCCCTTTCTCCAATCATGTCCATGCCTTCCATTTTCTCAAATCCCCATCGGTTTTTTATGAGCAGTGCAACCCCTCCTCCCCCTCTACTCCTTTTATGTTTCCTCAGGATCTCATAAACCAGTGGAAAGACTGCGTTTGTTATTGTCTCAGCGAGTTTCGTTTCTGTGACTGCTATGATGTCTGGGGATTTCTCGCTGATACTTTCGTGCCACTCCTCATATTTATTCGTTATTCTGTCCGCATTTGTGTACCAAACCTTCGGCTTCTTTTCTATCACTGTGGTGCTGGGAGAATATTGGGGTTAGGGGAGTGAAAGCCTTGGTGGGAGCCTATGGGGGGCTGTGGTGTGGGTGGGGTTTGTGATGAAGAGGGTGGGGTCAGAATGCCCATAGGGGGCAGCTGTTGAGGTGAGGCTTGTGATGTGGGGGTTGGTGGCAAAGGGAACAGTGTGTGGGTTTTGGTTTAGATTGCTCAGTTGCATTGGGATTGTTGCGATTGGAGCCCTTCCACTGGAGTTTCTGCAGGGTGTGTTTGCCCTTCCTCCTGTGTCTGGGTCCTGCTCATCTTCATCATTGCCTCTCGTTCCTCCTTGCGTCTCTGTACCCTCTCTTTCAGTGTAGTCCTTTGTTCTTGTGTTCTGTCGCGATCGAGGTATACTCTCTGGTACCCTGGTTTGTCCCTAAGTCATGCTTTCTCTTGCAGAATCCTGTGTGCATGTGTGTGTGTGTGTGTGTGTGTGTGTGTGTATGCATGTGAGTGTGTGTGTTCGTGTGTACTCACCTAGTTGTACTCACCTAGTTGAGGTTGCAGGGGTCAAGTCCTAGCTCCTGGCCCCACCTCTTCAATGGTCACTACTAAGTCACTTTCCCTGAACCGTGAGCTCTATCATGCCTGCCTCCACTACATCGCTTCCCAAACTATTCCACTTCCTGACTGCTCTGTGGCTTAAGAAATACTTCCTAACATCCCTGTGACTTATCTGTGTCTTCAACTTCCAA